TGTAAGTCGCTCTGGATAAGAGTGTCTGCTAAATAATGTAAATGTAAATGCAAATGTAGATAGCCTGCAGAGCTCTATCATACTATCCAGGTCTGTGCCCAAACAGTTTGAGCTTCTACTTCTAAAAATCCACCGCTCCAGAAATAAGTCTATCACTGTTGTCGCTTGCTACAGACCCCCCTCAGCCCCCAGCTGTGCCCTGGACACCATATGTGAATTGATTGCCCCCCATCTATCCTCAGAGTTCGTACTGCTTGGTGACCTAAACTGTGATATGCCGTCCTACAATCTAAACTAGATGCACTCAATCTCACACAAATTATCAAGGAACCTAAAAGGTACAACCCTAAATCCGTAAACATGGGCACCCTCATAGATATCATCCTGACTAATTTACCCTCTAAATACACCTCCGCTGTCTTCAACCAGGATCTCAGCGATCACTGCCTCATTGCCTGCGTCCGTAATGGGTCCACCCCTCATCACTGTCAAACGCTCGCTAAAACACTTCAGCGAGCAGACCTTTCTAATTGACCTGGCCCGGGTATCCTGGATGGATATTGACCTCATTCCGTCAGTAGAGGATGCCTCGTTGTTCTTTAAAAGTGCTTTCCTCTCAGTCTTAAATAAGCATGCCCCATTCAAAAAATGCAGAGCTAAGAACAGATATAGCCCCTGGTTCACCCCAGACTTGACTGCCCTTGACCAGCACAAAAACATCCTGTGGCGTACTGCATTAGCATCGAACAGCCCCCGCGATATGCAACTTTTCAGGGAAGTCAGGAACCAATATACACAATCAGTTAGGAAAGCAAAGGCTAGCTTCTTATAACAGAAATTTGCATCGTGTAGCACTAACTCCAAAAAGTTTTGGGACACTGTGATGTCCATGGAGAATAAGAGCACCTCCTCCCAGCTGCCCACTGCACTTAGGCTAGGAAACAATGTCACCAGCGATAAATCTACGATAATCGAGAATTTCAATAAGCATTTTGCTGCAGCTGGCCATGCTTTCCATCTGGCTACCCCTACCCCGACCACCAGCTCTGCCCCCCCTGCTGCAACTTGCCCATAGGATAGTGGGTTTGTTTCCCGGCACCACCCATATGTATGCACCCATAACTGTAAGTCACTTTGGATAAAAGCATCTGCTAAGTGGCATGTGTTACCATACAGAACTAGCTAACAGGGAAGAGTGTCCTGCTGTGATCCTCTGTTACATCCCAAACTCAACCAGACTACTTCCTAGAACCTTGTGATAGCTAAACCAAGTCACTCACTTACATGAATAGCAGACATTCAAGCTATTACAACTTAGTATCACACTCTCACAATAGCAAAATCTTTACACATAAGATACAATACGTCTTAAATCACCTTTTCTCATAGCATAGAAATGTCCACAACATGGTGTATTTGTTCATTGGTTCCTGTGGGGAGGATCCCCTCTTTTTGGAAGGTCTCTGTGGTGGGGATCCCCTCGCTCTGGAAGGTCCCTGTTGTGGGGATCCCCTGCTTCTGCACAGGGATGCTCTCTGTCTGGAAGATCCCCTCCCTTTCAGATGCCACAGGCATGTCATCAAGGAGCTATCCAGTGCAGGTGGAGTGTAGGAGACATGCAAAAACATAATAATCACCTGAGAGACTACCACTACCTGAGAGACTACCACTACCTGAGAGACTACCACTACCTGAGAGACTACCACTACCTGAGAGACTACCACTACCTGAGAGACTACTACTACCTGAGAGACTACCACTACCTGAGAGACTACCACTACCTGAGAGACTACCACTACCTGAGAGACTACCACTACCTGAGAGACTACTACTACCTGAGAGACTACCACTACCTGAGAGACTACCACTACCTGAGAGACTACCACTACCTGAGAGACTACCACTACCTGAGAGACTACCACTACCTGAGAGACTACTACTACCTGAGAGACTACCACTATTGAACTGTACAAATGTAGTCAAATCTTGCTCCATTGGTGGTTGTTCATAGTGGACTTTAGGGAAAGTTACCAGAATTCTGTAACATTAAATCAGACCAATCAGAAGTGTAATTCATAAATACTTACCTCGAGGAGAGTTATCCATGGTTTGCTTTCTCAGATAAAGCCAATCACTCTAGCTGGGTCAACAATTCAATGATACACAAGCCTTCAGGCATCTTTCTGTCTAGTGCCTTGATAATGGAACCACAGAACTAGAATGAGATTATATTTCTATGGATGGAACAGCAGAGGTATCCCTCCGTATTATGGCATCATAATCATAACTGCATCACTAATAGTTAAATCTAGGTCATCGACGTCATAGTAACCAGAGACTCTTCTAATGATTGTGACAGAATCAATGAATATTTCCATTTAATTCCATATCATGTTGAATTCAGATTTAATAAGTAACATATAGGCTACTGAAACTATTGCCTACAATCCTATGAGGATTAAAGGCCCAATGCCAGAATCATGACACAGGAAACCACAAGGTCTAATGGAACACTGAGTATCAGGCATTTGAACAGCGTAACTTTAAAGACATTCTCAAATCCACTGAAACTCAATACATATAGCCTCAAAATGTGTACATGTGTACAGAACCATCTTTGTTACACTAGTTTGTAAGTAAATAGCAGTCTATAGTATAGTCCTTGCTGCACATCTGACTCCATCTCTAAGTTTTAGGCCTATCAATGTCTGATAGAAATGTCATCACTAAACAACTGAATAAGTTCCTCTATAAATAGACCTGCAGTACATTACAGTGAGTGGATAGTCATTGGGTTGAATTGTAGTATTTTAGGCCCTCACAGATTCCGGTTGGCGACCTGGATAATGTGGCTGCTGTTGGAATCTTCCTGCTCCTCCTCGTATGGAAAACACCCAGCTGACCTCAATACATGTCATTATCATGTCACAGTTTCCTGTTGGCATGAAGCAGACATACCGCTGTGTGTGTGCGTCACTACTATGTAACACAGTCTAAAGATGTGCCACATGCTAGCCCCCTGGGAGCAGGATGCAGTCAAGTGTTGTTCCTGTTGTTGACATCCCTGTAGACACCAAAACATCCCCAATGGATCCCCCATGGATCCCCAATGGATCCCCCATCATGACACACACTTCTCACCAACAGATACAGTTCGCATGCTCACACATATACAAACACACACGTGCACACACACATTATAGCGCCTGTGTGATGAGGACGCGGTGTCTCTCATAGAAAGCAGCAGGGTACTGTGTGCCTCTAATCCTTTGTTATTAATTGTGTCTTAAACAAGCCGCGCCTGCTTAGTCCTCCTGGTGTCAGCAGCACCCAGAGTATCCATGGAAACTGCAGGCTGGGCCCAGCTCATGGAGAGATGTAGTCTGTTGCCCGACAGGCAGAAAGATGCCTCATGTAAATATTGTGAATGAATGCGCCCTCGTGTGGTGTGTTCTTGCAAGTGCATGGAAGAGAACATGAAACAAGGGTCTCGATCAACTCAAATAGGGGAAAGATGACGTATGGAGGATTGTGCTCTAGAATCAGAATGAGTTTGTTAGATATTTGATTTGCTTAGTTTAGTTTTAAAACACAAGTGAATGTGCATGTGAGAGCAAAAACGATGCTAGAGCAAAGGCCTATGTAAACAATACAAAGCAGTGAACAAAACATTTCAGCCATTTTCTAGCCAGCAGCACCATCTAACGGTGAGATTTGATAATACATAAAAACATGAATCAATTATTCACATCAATTACAGTTCATATAAGGAAATCAGTCAATTGAAATAGATTCATTAGGCCCTAATCTATGGATTTCACATGACTGGGCAGGGGTGTAGCCATGGGTGGGACTGGGAGGGCATAGGCCCACCCACTTGGGAGCAAGGCCCAGCCAATCAGATTGAGTTTTTCCCTACAGGCTTCATTAGAGACAGAAATACTCCTGTTTCATCAGCTGTTCAGATGGCTGTTCTCAGACGATCCCACTGGTGAAGAAACCAGATGTCAAGGTCCTGGGTTGGCGTGGTTACACGTGGTCTGTGGTTGTAAGGCCGGTTGGACATACTGCCAAATTCTCTAAAACAACGTTGGAGGCGGTTTATGGTAGAGAAATGAACATTTAATTCTCTGGCAACAGCTCTGGTGGACATTTTTGCAGTCAGCATGCCAATTACACGCTCCGTCTAAACTTCAGAAATCTGTGGCATTGTGTTGTGTGACAAAACTGCACATTTTAGAGTAGCCTTATTGTCCCCAGCACAAGGTGCACCTGTGTAATGATCATGCTGTTTAGTCAGCTTCTTGATATGCCACACCTGTCAGATTGATGGATTATCTTGGCAAAGGAGAACTGCTCGCTAACAGGGATGTAAACAAATTTGGGCACAACATTGGAGAGAAATAACTTTTTTCTGCGTATGGAACATTTCTGGGATCTATTATTTCAGCTCATGAAACATGGGAACAACACTTTAGATGCTGCATTTATATTTTTGTTCAGAATATTTCAAACGGTCATTTTATTTAACATCACTGCAACCTTACTGCAATATGCACAGGATAAACCCTTTATATTCAGTAAAAAGTGAAAAAATACAGACTGGATAGAAATGAGAGTTTCTGGACAATTCCTAAAATATGAAACATAGTTAATGTGCTACATACAATATAGACTGTCCTTATACATAATGTATATTCAACTGTAAACTATTTGGAACACAACGCCTGATACGTAAAATTTTACCAGTGGAACAGATATGTTGAACTAGCTTGCTTGAGATTTTGATATAGCAATAATAAATATAGCCTAATATAGCTTTACTAAGAGCAAGGTGAGGTTTCTTGCATCTAAAAAGTCATATTCTTAAATGGAATAAGAAAATGGAATGGATTAGAACAATGCATGGATAGTAAAAATAATGAATGAATATTAAAGTGATACTTTTGCAAACCAAAACGGTTCCCAGAAAAATGTGCACAACTGTGTACTATGTCATCCATTTTGTATGATATGTTACGTCCTGCAAAAAATAAAAAATGTAACGTTCACAATTCGTATGAAATGTTACGAATTCCATTTCGTACAATATGTTAAGAATTTGTAAGTGCTTAAGATCCCGGACTGCATCTTTAAGTGTAAATAATAGTGTGTTAAAGTTTGTTTTGTATGGTGTGCATTAAAACCAAAATGCAGATTTATTTGCAGCACTTCATATCAATAAGCATTCTACCTTGTAAGTGTTCCTTTTCATACATTTACTAAAGTGCACATATCTTTACCAATCCTCTATGCAAAGTACCTCAAAGCTATGTTAAACCACAATACACAAAACCATGACATGCGTTGGCAGAAGCGAGAAGTCTAGATACGGGAGTGTTGAGAATATAACATACATGTTTATCTGGCTATGAGACAAAATGTGCTTCTCTAAAGATATAAAAGACACTTTCCTAAATATACTTTCCTGTGTAAAATGGTAACACACTTTATGACATACATTTTCATAAAAAACTACATATTTGACCAAATACTATTAAAGACTATAATGTGATGATGATGAGGATTGTAGGAAAGTGATCCCTTCTCTCCTTATGACAGAGAACATTAGGTGACATTGGTCCCTGATGTGAGTATTCCATCTACAGTCCTAAACAATGTGTTTTTCTCTCCTGTTAATACAATATATTCTGATAAAGGCATTTGTAATAAAGTGTAAATAGAGAGAAATAATACAAAATCCTGCTCTAAAAAAGGTGATAAACAATAAAGTTACTACAGCTGATGACAGGGTTGTGTGCAACTAAGCATTTGCATAACTTATGCTACCTTCCCACCGCTAGGAGGCTCACTACTTCTTGTCTTTGGCATCTCTAGCGGGCTGCTCAATAAGTTTCCCCTTGTGATACTTCTGTCCGATCCCATAAGGCACGTGTGCAGCGATGGTCCCCACCTCTATGGCCGCCTTGATGTGGAACATCTGGTCGTCGAAGAATATGTGGGGCTGGATCTCCTGCAGGACGGGACCTTTGGGGGCCCCTTTTAGGAACCGGATGTCATCGATCTCCAGGTCCCAGAGCCTGAGGGTCTTGAGGACACGGGCCCCCGCGTAGGCTTCTCCGCGGGATGTTACCAGGTAGGTACGAATGGGGCAGTTCACACGTTCATTCTTGGCGTAGAACTTTCTCTGGAGCTTCACCAGCGCCTCCAGGAAACACTTCAAGGGACCCTGAGTGAATGAATGAGTCATAGGGTTGGCATAGTATTATTTTTACTTTTGTCCAAAATCAAAGCAAATAATACACCAATAGTGTTCCACTTTATTAGTCTTTAGATGCTCAAACGATCACCAAGATATTAACTGCCAATGTTGATATGCAACACTTTGGTAGGTATAAGGAAAGGGTTAGGTCTAGGTTTAGGGATAGTGGGATAGTTAGTTAAATGTTTGTTGCTAGTTAGTTGAACATCTATAACCCCTCTATAGGGAGTAAAGGAAATCAAGGAAATCTGACACAAACGACCATGTTAAAATCTAACATAAAATAGAGTCATCTCATGATCACCTTTGGAAGAGGTGTGTCCTCAAATTTCATCTCGTGCTCAATGAACCTGTCCAGGCCGTGTTGTTTGAATATGATCTCAGACTCGTCAGAGAAGAGGACAGCGTCCCCGTCAAAAGCTACTTTCAGCTGCCTGTCAGACAGCTGGTTCTCCTCATCTCCAGAAGTAAACATGGTCGCTGCAGCAATGCCTGTTTATAAGACATTGTAAGGGGGTTATACATGCTCATAACAGGTCTTACAAACCATTACAACGGTTATGTACAGCTACGGATGAAAGTGACGCAAACATCGTCATTCTCTCGCAGTGCGATTTGGCGGGTTTTGTTGCTATTGTCGTTTCGCGTCTGCTGTTGGTGGCTTATTGCTGTCAATCAAAGAGTCCGCTTAGGCTGCACCGTGATTAGAGGCTTTTATTAATATCACAAGGTTACAGCATAAGTTACAGACCCGCGGTGTCCGGAGAAGCACCGTCCCAAATTAATCTGAATGCTTCTGACTCCCCCTTTGTCTAGCTCCTACTTATAAACAATGGCAAAAATGGGTTGCTCCCTCTTTCGTCCAATCACCGGTCTCCCCTGGGGCGTCACCCTACAACTGCTACATTTAAACTAAGATAAACAGTTTTTCTTTGTCCCTCAAGACTAGTCATAATCTTCATACACGACACTATGCCAACAGCTAGCTATTGGTTCTGTATGGGGTGAGCTATGAGTCGCTAGGCGAGAACAGTAAATATACTTTTAGCTAACTGGTTTCTCCATTCATCTGTGATGACAGCTAGTGTTCATATGGATGTCACCTTGACATGCCAATTAGCTAACGTTATTGCCCTCTGTAATCATGACGACAAGGCAAGCCGGTGCGAATGACCAGCTCACCGGTGTTGTGCTTGCCGACGTGAGGTGATTCCTACACGGCAGCTGTATTTTCACGGTGTCGCCGGTGGTAACTAGTATAACGTGACCAATTTGTCATAATTTTTTATAGGATTTTAGTCTCCTACTAAAATAATTCATATTGGTAAGCGTCTAGACGTTACCGTGATTCAGTCTACCCAATGGGGTGAACATGAACGGCAACAACACCGGGACACATTGTCCTTCATCCTGCAACTACTGCGGGAACTACTGTAGCTAGCTACCTAGTGTGATGGGGATGACATCAGGAGGTGACAGTTACAGGAAGCACACACATACAAGCAACAGTACACTCATCATCAGTACTTTCATCAAAAATAAACAATCGTCTGTTTTATTAACTGAAACTGTACAATTATGTTGTGTGTAAAACCAACAATGAAATCCTCATCCTCTCCAAAATTAAGACCAAACTCTCATGGTAGTTCAATTGTAAACTCGTCCTTGGCTGTACACCATCTACTCACAACCCATTATGACAGCATCATCCATGCATTATATCTGTAAGCTATACTATAAAGTGTTACCACAATGTAATCTACGGTTTTGGACTTAGCATCCATGCTAACCTAAACCAGTCCGTCTTAAACCAGTAGCATCACCACCTACCCTCCTCAATGGCCTCTGTGACTTTTTCTCCATCCTTGGAGAGGTACAGGTTGGTCATGCAGGCCTTTAGATAGCCAATGGGGCTTTGCCCTCCCGTCATACATAATCGCTCAATGGTTAAATCTGTTAGGTAGAGGGAACCATTGTTTTTTATCAGAAACTCATAGAAATGTGATGGTATAGTCATCAGGCTGGTAGCCACAGATTGCCACTACATATCATGAACAACAGGCATGTAAATATTAAAAACAACATATTTGGTCAAAAGAACAGCTTAAAATTGGATGTCCAATCATTCAATGAAACATCAACATACATTCCAAAACAGGTGTGTTTTATAACATTGTAGGCGTGGCTGTAACATTGCAGTACGCTTTACAGAGCATTAGGCGTGTTGTGGGCATGTTGTAGGCGTGTTTTACGGACCATAGTGGTTGATGCTGTTGATGAGGCGCACCCCGACCTGGGCGTGGTTATTAGTCATCAGGACGATATCAAACAGCTCCTCACTGTCGGGGTAGAGCTGCCTCAGTCTGGAGTTCACTATCATCAGAGCCTGCAGTGTGTGTGTGAGAGTGTGTGTGTGTGTGTGTGAGAGTGTGTGTTTTTAGGACATAATTGACATAGGGATTAAGAAAAAATGACTCCGGGACTGAAAAAAATTGGTCCGGGACTGAATCTAGTTGATGATTCCTGTTATAGATTAAGTCCCACACGCCGTAGCGCGTGTGCAGGGTAGCCTTTTGGTTTTCTACTGAAACCAATACCAAACCAGCCATGTGGTTGTTTGACAAAACGAAGTTTCAGACTTAATTGATCACGTTCTTCTGATAAAGTGATACAGGTGTCGGCACACTGCTTAGAAGTAAACTGCTTAGCGATTTCAACGCATGCCTCAAATGTAAAATCACTAATAGTTTCCTCTTTATTACTGTTTATAATCCGCAATGTTAATTTTACTAACATTATATCTAAATATATAATATGCACAAATATTCAAGGAACATTTTAATTTGCAGTGTACAAACTTAACATGACGAACAGGAATTACATTTATGCTAACAGATGACAAAACATCTGAAAGCCATGCCTCCAATAAACCACGCCTCCAATCTGATAGGCTGCCAACTCTACAACATATTATCAAATGAATAATATTACCATATTATCCATTTTCAAACCTTTACACAGGGGTTCCTCTAAGAACTGGGGGGATTTGTTTTCTCATAGCTGGATGTGATGAATAGCTATAAATTGTTTCACATAACAAGCTGTGATTCATGTGAGGAACGTTAGGGGGTAGGATGAGATAAGAACTTTTGTCTCAAAATACTAGACTACACTGCTTCTTTGTGATCTGTGAACCGTCCTTGAACGTAGGTACATAGAGTACAGTGGAACGGTGTCTATGGGTGCTGACTCTACAGGTTGTTATGATAACAACTTATGGCAACAGTGTGCAACAGTGGAGCGCCAAGGGGCTGGGACCAGCCTGAGCGCCAGCGATAGGTTGGGCAAGTCTAAACCACGCCCAACCTCTACCCTGATAGGCCCAGCATGGAGCGGGAACTATCAATGTCAGGGTATTTAAAAGAACAGCCTGTAACAATGGATCAGTTCTCTGTCTGCCCTGCGTGGTATTTCAGTGAGCCCGTATACGAACCATCATACTTATCATACATACATTTTGCATATAATAAATTTAGCTTGGATTGAATATCTCTTGATTATGTTTTCTCTTATTCCAATACCAGATTTGAATTACGCAATTTCTAACATAACCTTTTCAGAGGGGTTCCTCAAGGAAACCCTCTGCAGGTGTGTCAACCCAAAAGGTTCTTCCAGGCACCTTTACTTCTAAGAGTGTAGAGCAGCTTGAATAGGGGAAGAACAAGAATAACCTGCCAAAGTGTAATTCATGCATTCATGTATGGATGGTGAATAACAGTAGGAAACCACATTGGCTGTTGTAATTCTGAGCAAAACACTATTCTGGATGCATTAAACAAATGTCATTGGCAATACAGAGTGAGTGAGGTTTCCCCTTCACTTACAATACGTAATCTGTATGAAGTCGTAGCGCAACCACACCTACTGACTCTACACACACAGACATTCAGGTTCGCCATATCTTTAGTTAATTTAATCCCTCTAATTTACCTTCACAAGGGGAAACGCCACACCTGGCATGAGCGGCTCATTCTTGTGCTCCTGTTGATAGGTAACATACTTCTCGACTCCCTCTTCCTCATAGATATTCTGCTCCGCAACCATGTTGAACAAGGTGCGAGAGGAGACGGCGATTGTAACTGCATTTTGTGGTTTGGGCTATTTGGAAAACAAGATTATGAAGCAAAGGTTTTATTGAAACAAATTACCAATATTGTACGTGTAAAGACAATGATTTTATTGGCAAAAGGCAAACAACAGCTGCAAATGTAAAAATGTATTACTTACGGGTCTAGGTTTCTTTGCTTTTTCTGCTGCCCAGTCCTTTTCCTCTCCAGCGTTAGTTGTTGCTGGATCGGTAGGTTTGATTTCACTCATATTTGGCCTGGAATCGAAAAGTTCTAGATCTGACAGTTCCGTAAAAGTGATTCAAATGGACAGACCAAGCGATGACAGGCAAGTTTATGGAAATGTTTGGATGGGCGAGTCTATCCCTGTTGTTAAGCATTGTCTTACATCAGATCTGATACGTCATATAACTCACAAACACTCATGGGATAGCCCAAAGGTTGCTTTGACTACTGTAATTGGACATTTGCATTGTGTGTGTCCACAATGAGTGCAGACCGACAAGGGAAAAAAAACTACCTAATCCATTCTAGAACAAGGAACAAAACACAGCAAAATGCGGAAAAAGTAAAGGGGCGTGAACACCCACGAACGCACCGCACAGTTAAGATAGAAAAGGAAACAAACTTTTCATTTTTCACCCTGCAAACCCCCCCCCATAACAACCATTACAACAAAAGGAAAAACTAAATAAACAAAACAAAACACCCTACCCCTACCAGTCATCTATGTATGTCTGTAGTCTATCAGGCCTTAAAGAACCTACCAGTCATCTATGTATGTCTGTAGTCTATCAGGCCTTAAAGACCCTACCCCTACCAGTCATCTATGTATGTATGTAGTCTATCAGGCCTTAAAGACCCTACTCCTACCAGTCATCTATGTATGTCTGTAGTCTATCAGGCCTTAAAGAACCTACCCCTACCAGTCATCTATGTATGTCTGTAGTCTGTCAGGCCTTAAAGACCCTACCCCTACCAGTCATCTATGTATGTCTGTAGTCTGTCAGGCCTTAAAGACCCTACCCCTACCAGTCATCTATGTATGTCTGTAGTCTATCAGGCCTTAAAGACCCTACCCCTACCAGTCATCTATGTATGTCTGTAGTCTATCAGGCCTTAAAGAACCTACCAGTCATCTATGTATGTCTGTAGTCTATCAGGCCTTAAAGACCCTACCCCTACCAGTCATCTATGTATGTCTGTAGTCTATCAAGCCTTAAAGACCCTACTCCTACCAGTCATCTATGTATGTCTGTAGTCTATCAGGCCTTAAAGAACCTACCAGTCATCTATGTATGTCTGTAGTCTATCAGGCCTTAAAGACCCTATCCCTACCAGTCATCTATGTATGTCTGTAGTCTATCAGGCCTTAAAGACCCTACCCCTACCAGTCATCTATGTATGTCTGTAGTCTATCAGGCCTTAAAGACCCTACTCCTACCAGTCATCTATGTATGTCTGTAGTCTATCAGGCCTTAAAGACCCTACCCCTACCAGTCATCTATGTATGTCTGTAGTCTAATCAGGCCTTAAAGATCCTACCCCTACCAGTCATCTATGTATGTCTGTAGTCTATCAGGCCTTAAAGAACCTACCAGTCATCTATGTATGTCTGTAGTCTATCAGGCCTTAAAGACCCTACCCCTACCAGTCATCTATGTATGTCTGTAGTCTATCAGGCCTTAAAGACCCTACCCCTACCAGTCATCTATGTATGTCTGTAGTCTGTCAGGCCTTAAAGACCCTACCCCTACCAGTCTTCTATGTATGACTGTAGTCTGTCAGGCCTTAAAGACCCTACCAGTCATCTATGTATGTCTGTAGTCTGTCAGGCCTTAAAGACCCTACCCCTACCAGTCATCTATGTATGTCTGTAGTCTATCAGATCATTACATATTGTTTTCTCTTTCTATCTCTGAGAGAAATGTCCCCAGATGTCAAAAAAGTTATCGAGTTTACCATTCATTTAATAAATCCATCTTTCATATGAAGCTGTTTCTGCCAAGGCTATATCCCATTCGTTGTATGAGGGAGGGTCCTTCTCTCTCCAGTGTTTCAATATGACTATTTTGGCTGTGGTTAGAGCAATTGGATTCTGCAGTCCCACCTTTTGTTGACTCAAATAATCTGATGCTCCGAATGGGGCCTTAAGTTCCTCTTCCATGTCCAACCAAATTGGCCTAGTTGAGTTCTCAATAAAGAGAGAGCCTATTTGGGCAGCTACAAAGGCTGTTAGGGAGCTTAAATCCTACCTTCTCAGTCTGCCCCTTATACCGGCCCAAATAAACTCAGAAATCATTTTGCCTATGGATTTAAAAGTATACACAGGTATGGATAGGGGTAACATGCTGATGACGTAATTCAGTTTAGGAGCTATGACCATCTTTATAACCTGTATCCTACCCCATAATGAGATTTGTAGCATATCCCAGCTCTTAAACTGGAGTTGAATTTTGTTCAATAGTGGGTCAAAGTTTTCAGAAATCATGTTCTCTAGACCAGGATTTAAAGCGATCCCCAGGTACCTCAAGTTTTTAGGGACCCATTGAAACCTCCAGCTGAGGAAGTCAATTCTCAGACAATGTTTTGATAGGGACATTACTTCAGATATGGTCCAGTTTACTTTATAGCCCGATATCTCTGAAAATGCATTTACTAGGTCCAGTAAAAGTGATATGGAGAGTTGGAGGTCTGACATTCATAGTAATATGTCGTCTGCATAAAGCAGTAGTTTATTTTCCCTACCTCCCATATTAACCCCTTTGATTGACTGATGCAGCCTTATGGCTTTGGCTAATGGTTCTAATGATATCATGCTCTACAACATTCGGAGAGTACGACCCTGCCTTACACAGGAAGCGGCACAGGTCCTAATCCAGGCACTTGTCATCTCCCGTCTGGATTACTGCAACTCGCTGTTGGCTGGCCTCCCTGCATGTGCCATTAAACCCCTACAACTCATCCAGAATGCCGCAGCCCGTCTGGTGTTCAACCTTCCCAAGTTCTCTCACGTCACCCCCCTCCTCCGCACACTCCACTGGCTTCCAGTTGAAGCTCGCATCCGTTACAAGACCATGGTGCTTGCCTTTGGAGCAGCGAGGGGAACGGCACCTCTGTACCTTCGGGCTCTGATCAGTCCCTACACCCAAACGAGGGCATTGCGTTCATCCACCTCTGGCCTGCTGGCTCCCCTTCCTCTGCGGAAGCATAGTTCCCGCTCAGCCCAGTCAAAACTGTTCGCTGCTCTGGCACCCCAATGGTGGAACAAGCTCCCTCACGACGCCAGGACAGCGGAGTCACTCACCACCTTCCGGAGACATTTGAAACCCCACCTCTTTAAGGAATACCTGGGATAGGATAAAGTAATCCTTCTACACCCCCCCCCCCCCCCCCCCCCCCCCCACCCCCCCACACACAAAAAAATTTGTTAAGTGGTTATCCCACTGGCTATAGGGTGAATGCATCAATTTGTGAGTCGCTCTGGACTAGAGCGTCTGCTAAATGACGTAAATGTGCCCTTGAGCAAGGCACTTAACCCTAATTGCTCCTGTAAGTCGCTCTGGATAAGAGCGTCTGCTAAATGACTAAAATGTAAAATGTAAAATGTAAATATAATAAATAGGAGAGGAGAGAGACAGTCACCTTGTCTCGTGCCTCGTCCTGCTGAAAATGGAGATGATCGTAGTCCGTTTGTGACTACTATGGATTTGGGGTCGTTGTTTAATAATATTCTGAAAGCCCTGTCCAAATCCAAATGTATTTATAGTATAATGCAGTTAGTCCCAGCCCACCCTATCAAAGGCTTTCTCTGCATCTAGGGATAAGGCTACCACTGAAGTATCCAAATATTGTGCCTTCCAGATGACACGCAAAAGGCTTCTAAGATGATCAGATGGTTCTGCCTTTCACAAATCCCACCTGGTCTGGATTTATGATTTTCTTAATGATATGATTCACACTCATAGCCAGACGTTTTGTAAACAATTTTCCATCACAATTTATCAAAGAAATTGGACAGTAGCTCCCACACTCATAGTATCCTTTCCCTTTTTGAGGATTAGGGTGATTACTTCATCACTCATAGAAGGTGGGAGCTCACCTGTGTCAATCGATGTGTTCAATGTTTTCAATATTTCTGGACTAAGCTGCTCTGCAAACCTTTTATAGAAATCACTGGGTATCTCATCCAACCCTGGAGCTTTGCCACTGGGTGCTTGTCTTATAGTTTCGGTCAATTCCTCCAAAGTAATAGGGCGGTCGAATAATAATAATAAAGTACTCAGCACGCATTTGGTTTTCGTCAGATTTACCAGAGAAATGTTGTTAGGATTGGACCAATATTCCCTCTTCAGCCTTTTGAGCTCTGTTTCAAGTTCATCCATTTTCTTAATAGTAGCTGAACGTTGTATCATTACTCCGCGAATATAAGCTTTAAAAGCTTCCCAGACGTATACCTGTTTCACACTATTGTTGTTTGTTTCAAAGAATATCGTAATGTGTGTTTTAAGGAATTCACAAAACACCTTGTCCTGTAAGAGGCTGGTGTTCATTCTCCAACATTTACATGCGTCTCTTTCTGCTCCTATTCCAACAGCCAGATCAATGGGTGCATGATCTGACACAGCTATCACACTGCAAGCACCCACTTTATCTATGAGAGAGTGTGAGATCTGGAAGTAGTCGATGCGTGAATAAACATGTGCCTTTTCAAAAATAATGTGTAATCACGAGTGGTTGGATTGATCAATCTCCATATAAACTCAGCAAAAAAAGAAACGTCCCTTTTTCAGGACCCTGTCTTTCAAAGATAATTCGTAAAAATCCAAATAACTTCACAGATATTCATTGTAAAGGGTTTAAACACTGTTTATCATGCTTGTTCAATGAACCATAAACAATTAATTAACATGCACCTGTGGAACGGTCGTTAAGACATTAACAGTTTACAGACGGTAGGCAATTAAAGTTATGAAAACTTAGGACACTAAAGAGGCCTTTCTACTGACTCTGTAAAACACCAAAATAAATATGCCCAGGGTCCCCGCTCATCTGTATGAATGTGCCTTAGGCATGCTGCAAGGTGGCATGAGAACTGCAGATGTGGCCAGGGCAATAAATTGCAATGTCCGTACTGTGAGACGCCTAAGACAGCGCTACAGGGAGACAGGACGGACAGCTGTTCGCCCTCGCAGTGGCAGACCACGTGTAGCAACACCTGCACAGGATCGGTACATCCGAACATCACAC